TGTCTCCTGGCAGGTGACCACTGACTTGCGGCAGAAGTGCACAGAGTCTCACACAGGCACCTCAGCCTCTGCCCCCTTGGCAGCTGGCATCATTGCTCTCACCCTAGAGGCCAAGTAAGTGGATGAGGAACATCCTTGTTTCAGTGTCCTATGCAGGGCAGTATTTACTATCCAGCTTTTCTCCAAAAAGATTGAATCCTGGCCTCTCCCTTCCTCCTTTACAGTAAAAACCTCACCTGGCGGGACATGCAACATCTGGTGGTTCAGACCTCAAAGCCAGCCCATCTTAATGCTAATGACTGGGCCACCAATGGTGTGGGCCGGAAAGGTGAGGGCAGGGCAGCCCAGGGGGAGCTGGACTCCAAGGTAAGTGGAGGAGGACATTCTCTGCCTCCTTGCTGATTCTGCCTTACTTGTCCCCACAGTGAGTCATTCATATGGCTATGGGTTATTGGACGCAGGTGCCATGGTGGCCCTGGCCCAGAACTGGACAACAGTAGCCCCCCAGCGGAAGTGTATCATTGACATCCTCACTGAACCCAAGTGAGAACTGGACCTGGGCTGGGAGGAGGCAAGTGGGGCCTGAAAGCTATAGGGGGTGCCTCCTGGTCTTTTTGGACAAAGTTGACACCCCACTGTGATACTCTCTGCACAGGGACATTGGCAAACGGCTAGAGGTGCGCAAGACTGTGACTGCATGTCTGGGCGAGCCCAACCATATCACCCGGCTGGAGCATGCTCAGGCGCGGCTAACCCTGTCCTACAATCGCCGTGGCGACCTGGCCATCCACCTGGTCAGCCCCATGGGCACCCGCTCCACCCTCCTGGCTGCCAGGTTCTTGCCCTGTACCCTGCTTGCCCTGCCCATCCCCTCTTCTCCCTCACAGCCCATGTTCAGTCATTCACCCACACCCCTAATAATCACTATCAAATACTACTGAGGGCATTGTTGGCATTTGGGGAGGGACAGCTTTATCCTATGGGATTGCCTCATATCATAGGAATCCCTCGCTTCTACGTATTTAACATCAGTGTTGTGTTCCCTTACGAAATGCTTTTGTCCCTCTAGAGTCCCCTCGCTGAAAACATTTGGTCCCCTGGGAAACAGCCAAGCCAATAGGCATTTTCAGCCCGGCGGGATTGGTGCTGCATGAGGGGAAGGGTGTTTGGCCCATGTCTTGTCTGTTAGGTGTCACCTGGCCTGGGATCCCCCAAGGCCCTCAAATGGCTATATTCAACTCCCTCCTCCAGGCCACATGACTACTCTGCAGATGGGTTTAATGACTGGGCCTTCATGACAACCCATTCTTGGGATGAGGACCCTTCTGGCGAGTGGGTTCTGGAGATTGAAAACACCAGCGAAGCCAACAACTATGGTATAGGGGATATTTGATTGGTGGGGAACAAGGAAAAGAGCTGGAGGGACCTGGTGTGATGCCAGTGCCCTCTAACCCTTGCTTCTTCCCACCCCCCCCAACAGGGACACTGACCAAGTTCACTCTTGTACTATATGGCACAGCCCCTGAGGGGCTCCCTACACCTTCTGAGAGCAGCGGCTGCAAGACCCTCACATCTAGCCAGGCCTGTGTTGGTTAGTAGTGGGTTCTATTGGGACCAGCAGTTGCACTGGGTTAGGTGAGGGACAGTGGGTGCCTGTCCTGAAGCCCTGCTCTAGGAGAATAAGGGGTCTTAAAAGACCTGGAGGATCCTAGGGACTGTGGTAATTGTGCTTGGGGCTGCAGGTCTAGGTTCACCAGGCTGCCATGGACCTGGGACTGAGGGCTTATGTGGCTCGTGGCTGTGGTCCACTTGGCTGACACTACCTTTCTCTCTCTATGCTGGCAGTGTGTGAGGAAGGCTTTTCCCTGCACCAGAAAAGCTGTGTCCAGCACTGCCCACCAGGATTCACACCCCAAGTCCTCGATACACACTATAGCACTGAGAACGACATGGAAATCATCCGGGCCAGTGTGTGTGCCCCCTGCCATGCCTCCTGTGCCACATGCCAGGGTCCAGCCCCCACGGACTGCCTCAGCTGCCCCAGCCATGCCTCCCTGGACCCTGTGGAGCAGACGTGCTCCAGGCAAAGCCAGAGCAGCCGCGAGTCCCCTGAACAGCAGCAACCACCAGGGCTGTCCCCAGAGGTGGAGGCAGAGCCACGGCTGCAGGCTGGGCTGTTGCCCTCTCACCTGCCTGAGGTGGTGGCTGGCCTCAGCTGCGCCTTCATTGTGCTGGTCTTCGTCACTGTCTTCCTGGTCCTGCAACTACGTTCAGGCTTCAGCTTTCGGGGGGTGAAGGTGTACACCATGGACCGTGGCCTCATCTCCTACAAGGGGCTCCCCCCTGAAGCCTGGCAGGAGGAGTGCCCATCAGACTCAGAAGAAGATGAGGGCCGGGGCGAGAGGACCGCCTTTATCAAAGACCAGAGCGCCCTTTGACGAGCCCACTGCCCGCCCCTTCAAGCCAATCCCTTCCTTGGGCACTTTTTAATTCACCAAAGTATTTTTTTATCTTGGGACTGGGTTTGGACCCCAGCTGGGAGGCAAGAGGGGCAGAAACTGCTTCCTATCCAATCCTTGGGCCCACCTAGCTGCCCAAGGTAGGGCCCCAGGACCAGCTGGGGACAGGGGAGGACCTCACCTCACCCCCAGCACCCCTCCATGTGGAGAAAGGAGTGAAACCTTTAGGGCAGCTTTTCAAGGCCTAGGCCCCAGCCGGAGTTCTTGCGGAGTGAAGAGAGGCAGTCCTTTTGGGGATTCACGACCCAGGCTGCAGCTCTTGCCCCTTCCCTGTCCCTCTAAAGCAATAATGGTCCCCATCCAGGCAGCAGGAGGCTGGCCTGAGAGGTATTTGAAGGAGAGGTCACCTCACCAAGGGCTTTTGCATCCCCAATCCTGTCCCGCTCCTCTGGTGAGCCTCGGCAGAAGTGGCAATCATAGGAAGGGACCAAGACGAGGCAGGCGCTTCCAGGTGTGCACATGTGTGTGTCCCCTGCCTCTATGCTATAGGCCTCTACAACAGATGGCTGTCAGGCTGAGCCAGGCTGGTACGGGCCCCGGCTGCAGCTTGGGGCGGGGGGAGCCCATGCTGGTGTCCTGACCACCCTCTTATCTCCAACACCCTCCCCTCCCACCAGGGCCCAAGTCCCTGTTTTCTGAGCCCGGAGCTGCCTGGGCTGTTGGCACTCACAGTCCCGGAGCCCCTGGGTGGGTGGTGGGGAGGGACGGTGGCCCAGCCGGCCTCTTCCGCCTCCCACCCAATGCTGCTTTCCCCTGTGGGGATCTCAGGAGCTGTTTGAGGATATATTTTCACTTTGTGATTATTTCACTTTAGATGCTGATTTTTTTTTTTTTTTTGTATTTTTAATGGGGGTAGCAGCTGGACCACACCCACCTTCTCACACTCACCTTCTCACACCCACGTCCACCCTGCTCTTCCCCTGGCTGCCCAGCTCCTGAGGTGTAGGGGCTGCAGCATGTTGCTGAGGAGTGAGAAGGAGCTGAGCCCCAAGTCTTGAAGAGAGAGGCCAGCCAGGCGGGCTCTAGGAAAAGGGGTCAGGGTGGAAGGGGCAGGCTGACATCTGTGTTTCAAATGGGGCTTGTGCAAAGGGCTGATGGGTCATTGGCTCTCCAAGTGCCAGGGGTGGGCAGGTGGTGGCACCTAAGCCCCCTCCAACACTGTGCTCTAGCGGAGAAAGCACTGACCTGTTATGCCCCCCCAAGCCACCTCTTCTGACGTGCCTTTTGCACCCCTTCCATTAGGACAATCAGTCCCCTCCCATTTGGGAGCCCCATTTTCTTTCCCCTAGCCTTTCCAGGTACCCAGTCACCTGCCCAGGGGTGCCCCCTCCTCTCCCATCCCCCTACCCTCGTGGCCAGCCCGGCTGGTTTTGTAAGATACTGGGTTGGTGCACAGTGATTTTTTTTCCTTGTAATTTAAACAGGCCCAGCATTGTTGGTTCTATTTAATGGACACGAGATAATGTTAGAAATTTTAAAGTGATTAAACGTGCAGACTATGCAAATCAGGCCTGTCCTCCGGTGTGGTGGTATATTTCTTCCCAGGATCACTGGCTGTGTCCTGGATGGGGAAATGGGATCTGGATTGGAGGCCATTTACGCCTACTGATGGCCTGCCTGCCTGCCTATAGGTAGGCCTGTGTCAGAAGGCCAGGGACTCCAGGGCCTCCTGCAAGGAACAGATAAATGCACCAGGGCAGCCCTGTCCTCTTCCACCTCCAAGAGGAAGCTGTAGACAAGCCCCAGGGTGTAGGGCAAGTGAATGATAGGGGCTGAACTGGGTAGAGAATAGGTGGGCCTGTGTTGCCCCTGAAGTGACCTAGCTACAAGCCACAGGGCTGAGGCCTAAAGTGGGGTCTGACTGAACACAAAGATGACATTGGTATGTGGGGTGCTGAGTCCCACATTGGAAAACTACCTAGCCATTCCCCAGCTGGAACGTTGGAACGTTGGGGAATGACTAGGTATGCCAGTCCCAGGTTTCCCTTAGAATAGAAATGCTTGCTAGTGATAGGGATTGGAGACCTTGCTCCCAGGACCTGTGCCTGACAGGCCTCTCGGGTGATTTTATTCAAATAGAGGTTGGCCTGAGTTCTCCTTAGGGAATCCAGTGGGATGGGGAGGGCCTGGACTAGTTTTCCCCTTCCTTTTCTGGGTCACCCTGGCGGCCTGCTAGGACCTACGTCTATGGATTCCCCCAGCCCAGCACCTGTCTAGGGCCTCACCCTTCACCCATCCCCACTTCCACCGAAGGCCCCTTCTCCTCGTTCCTGGGACGGTGCTGGGCCCTGGGGAGTGCCGCGCAGGCCCCTCTCCACACGGCCATTCTTTCCCGGCCTCCCCCTCCCTTCCGTTTCCGTGGCCGAGCGGCGGCCGGAGGCTACGGCCCAGCACTGAGCAGGGGGGCGGGCGGGCGTCGGGCCGCAGGCCGCTGCCGCCCGCCCCTTCCCCTCCGCGGGCCCGCCCCGGGGCCTGGGCCAACTGAAACCGCGGGAGGAGGAAGCGCGGAATCAGGAACTGGCCGGGGGTCGGCGCGGGGCTTGAGTCGGTCCACGGCCGCTCCAGGAGCAGCTACCCGCGCCGGTAACATCAGCCTCGCAGCCCAGCAGGCGACGACGCGCGCAGACGTGGGGCGGGAAGCTGGGTGGTAGTGGGCAGGGACCGGGCAGGCGTCCTGAGAGCCTGACACCCATTTGGGTGGGGGTAGGGGCCGCGGAAGGGCCGGGTGGCCACAGTTACAGGGCTCCAGCTGTAGGCTCCTGAGGCTCCAGCCCTCCTAGGCTTGGCTCTGTGGAGGGCCTCTAACTGGTTTTTGGATGAAGGACCTAGGAATGGCGCTGGCGCCAGACTGGTTCCTCTCCACAATTGGAAAGGGGACCTCTGGCACTAGGGCTTGACTGGGGGCATAGGAAACAATGAAGGCCAGTCCGAGGCCAGGCTACTGTCCTGTACCTATTGCTGTTTCAGCAGGGTAGGACCCCACCCACCTTCTACCTGTTTGCAGCTCCTGCAACCCTTTTGACCTTGTAGTCCCCAGCCTCTTTGTCCCCTCATTTCACTCCAGCTGCTGCTTTGCCCCCAGTGATGGCCTATTATCTGTCCCTAGGACACCATTATGGGCTTCTCCTCAGAGCTGTGCAGCCCCCAGGGCCATGGGGCAGTGCAGCAGATGCAGGAAGCAGAGCTTCGCCTGTTGGAGGGCATGCGGAAGTGGATGGCCCAGAGGGTCAAGAGTGACCGGGAATATGCAGGACTTCTTCACCACATGTCCCTGCAGGACAGCGGAGGCCAGAGCCGGAGTAGCGGCCCTGACAGCCCTGTCAGCCAGGTGGGTTACTGGGGTTCCTGTGGGTGCTAGCTACACCTGCCCACCCCCTTCCTTTCCTAAAACTCTCTGGGATGGAGTTGGAGATTTGGCAGGCCCAGGCTTGGGAGCCATTGTCTACTCTTCCCTGCCTCCCCCATCCTGTGCATAGTCATGGGCAGAGATCACCAGCCAGACAGAGGGTCTGAGCCGGGTGCTACGGCAGCATGCAGAAGATCTGAACTCAGGGCCCCTGAGCAAGCTGAGCCTCCTGATCAGGGAGCGGCAGCAGCTGCGCAAGACCTACAGTGAGCAGTGGCAGCAACTGCAGCAGGAGCTCACCAAGGTGGGTACATGGCAGACAATCATTTCTGTCATAGTGTGGAGCTTAAAAGGAATGATTTTAAACTAGAGCCCCTAGATTAACTGGGGAAGTGGAAGTCCCTGACCGCAGGCCTGGCCTCAGGATGGCATGCTCCAGCCTTGCTGTAGCTCCCCCACCCTGGCCCCCTCACTTGGGCTGGCCTGCAGCACAGCTGGCCTGGCCATGTGTTGTCTGTTCCTAGCCATAGTGCTGGGAATGCAAGGATGGGTGAGGCATGTCACTACCTGGGTGGAGCCCAGGGTCTGTGCTCTGCCTCCTGTATGGATCCCAGAGACAGTGAGAAGAATGAGTGTCTCTCTGTTTGCTTTTAGCTTAGGACTCCTTCTCAGGGCCCCAGAGACAGGGCAGCAGAGTGGCCCCCTCACAGCTGAAATTAGCCTGCCTAGCTCTTAATTCCACCAGCTCCTTAGTTGTAGGATGTATGATTTGGGAGCTGCTCTTTCTCTGGGTGCTTCAGTCCAGTGTTCACTGTGTCACTGGAACCACACCTCTTGCGCCAGCACAGAGCCTGGCTTTGCCACAGACCCACAGCAGCCCCTGGTGGCCAACCTGGCCTCACACTCCTTCGCGGGAAAATCCCCAGCCGTTTTGAAATTTTTTTTGGTGGCGGGAGGAGACTGGGGATTGAGCTACATCCCTAGACCTATTTTGTATTTTATTTAGAGACAGGGTCTCACTGAGTTGCTTAGTGCCTCACCATTCCTGAGGCTGGCTTTGAACTCGTGATCCTCCTGCCTCATCTGGCCAAGCCACTGGGATTACAGGAGTGTGCCACCACCCCTGGCCATTTTTAAATTTTGGCCTCAAAACTTGGGGTCTTCCTGCTTCTGCCTCCCGAGTTGCTGGGATTAGACATTAGGGTCTGCCCTATTTTATAAAGTTTTACTGGAGCACAACCATGCCTGTTTGTTTTCATATCATCTATGGCTACTATAGAGAGAGCTACAATGACAGAATTGAATAATTGCAACAGAGACTTTATGGCTTACAGGCCTGAAATACTTTCTGGCTGTTTAAGAGAAAAGCTGCTCTAGTTTATACATTTAGCTCAGTTCCAGATGGGGAAACTGAGATTCAGAGAAGATGGATGGAGCTTTCCCAAGGTGTCTCAGCATCTAAACAGGAGAACTGGGATGAGAACTCCACTCCCGACTGTCATATATTGTTCTTGTTGGCCAGGAACATAATTTGCCAAGCCCAGTACAAAATGACAATGTGGGTCCTCTTTTAAGAAATCATTGGAAATTTCAATATGACATTGCATGGTGTGTTAGTGCACATCTGTAACCCTAGCTACTCAAGAGGCTGAGGCAGGAGGAGTGAAAGTTCAAGGCCAAACCTGGGCAACTGAGTGAGTCCCTGTCTCAAAATTTAAAAGGGCTGGGGATGTAGCTCAGTAGAAGTGTGCTAGCCCTGGGTTCAATCCCCACTACCAAAAAAAAAAAAATTTTTTTTTACAACATGAGAACAGGAGTGCACACAAGACCTATCTGCATATGGAGCCCTACATGACTATATGGGCTGCATATTCCTGAAGCTGGACCTATATAGTTCCAGGATAGCATTCTTAAGGTATAGAGGGACAGGCCCAGGCCACCTGTCTGCCTCCCACAGTGGGCTGTCTTTAACTCAGCTCCTCTGACCCTAAACCTTGCAGCCAGCTTCCTCACGTCTCCAGACCCTTCCAGGAGGATGGGCTTAGATATGCTTCCTGACTCATTGGCAGGACCTTGCCAGGGCTTTACCTCAAGAAGGAATCACCCGTGCTTAGGGACCTTCCTCCTTATTCTGACCATCCCCTCTCTCCCCAGACCCACAACCAGGACATCGAGAAGCTAAAAAGCCAATACCGAGCCCTGGCCCGGGACAGTGCCCAGGCCAGGCGTAAATACCAAGAGGCCAGCAAAGGTTTGTGGCTTCCCTTGCTAGCAGGGAGGGAATCCCAAACCAGTGCTCACCTGCCTGTGGGTGTCCCAAAAGTGAGGACTACTCAAGCCCCTATGCTGACACTTTTCTCCACACCTCCCTCCCTCCCACCTGCAGACAAGGACCGTGACAAGGCCAAAGACAAGTATGTGCGCAGCCTTTGGAAACTCTTTGCCCATCACAACCGCTATGTGCTTGGTGTGCGGGCTGCGCAGCTGCACCACCAGCACCACCACCAGCTCATGCTGCCTAGCTTGCTGCAGTCGCTGCAGGACCTACACGAGGAGATGGTGCACATCCTGTAAGCCCGCAGTCCCACCCTAGCCTTGTAACAGTCCTAAACCCACTACTAGGCCCAGAAGCAGGGCCTAGAAAATTCAATCCTGTAAAAGCATGGACCATGTAATTGGGTGAGGATGGGTCCTTAGCCAGTCGACTTAATCCAAATTACATTATTCTAGGGCCCCTTATAGCAAGTATACAGTTGTAGCAGCAAGAGAGCTTTAGAGGGTAGCAAAGGGCCAGTGAACCTTCTGCAAAGCAAGAGAGAGAAGAGTCCTAGGGTTTAGTTAAATTCACTGAGCATTATTCTACACTCTGGAATGTAGCAGAGAAAAATGTAGACAAACATCTGTCCTCAGAATCTTCCACTTTAGTGAAGGGAGGGAGGGAAGAAATAAAATAGGAAGTATGTTACGAGTGATAAGTGCTGTGAAAAAAACTAAACTTAGGGAAGAGGGTTAGGAGGGCAGGGGAGGAGCTGCAATTTTAAGTAGAGTGCTCTGAGAAGGCTTCTTTGAGATGATGATGTTCTGTAATTCCAGCGACTATGAAGAAAGGCAGAAGCATCAAGTCCAGTCTGAGCAACTTAACCAGATACTGTTTCAAAATAAAAAATTAAAAGTTGTGGATATAGCTCATTGGTAGAGCACTCCTGGATTCAATCCCCAGTACCACTGAAAACAAAAAGATCATGAGAAGGTGACATCCCAAGAGAGAATTAAGAGAGATATGGAGTGAACCATGGGACTCTCTGGAGAAAGACTATTCCAGAAAGAGGGACAGCGAGTGATTAGGTGCTATAGTGGGAGAGCTTTAGAGGGTAACAAAGAATCAGTGGACTTTCTGCAGAACAAGGGGAGGGGAGAATCAGACATGGACTAGAGGAGCCAGAGGTTGGGGGCTCAATGAGAGGGTCCAGCAGGCCACTGTGAGGACTGGCTCTGGGTAAACCATAGTGACATGCTCTATAAGGTTGCTGTGGCTGCTGATTTAAGAATAGATTTTTAAGGGGTGAGGCCAGAGAAGAGAGGTCAGAAAGGAGTGTCTTGCATGGATCCTAGCTACAGATCTTGGCTATTGGGCCAAAGTGGTAGCGATGGAGATGAAAAAGTGGTCAGGTCCTGGGTATATTTTGAAGATACAGTGGTAGGATTTCCTTATGATTGGAAGTAGAGTGTGAAATAGAGGAATCAAGCTTGTCTCTAAGGACTGAGCTTAGAGCTTAGACTTGCCATTAGCTTGTGTAGAGAAGGATATGGAAGGAAGAGGTTTTGGGGACTAGGAATTAATTTTTCAATGAGTATAATTCGGGTGTCTGAGAGACCAGTGTTCAATGGGACATTTTGGGTAAGTGGATGAAGACATGAGGCTGGAGCTCAGGGGTGCTGTCAGGCCTAGGAGATACAGACGTGGAGTTAGCAGCACATTGGTGGCTTATACATTTATTGGGGGCCCAGAGTCCCAATTTTAAGCTGGCTGCCAGAGTACTTCCTAAGTACCAGACATCTGTATTCAGGATCACTTTGGATCCTTAATGCAACTGCCAGTGTGTCCATCACACACATCAGAAAGTAGAAGATCAAGGAGAGGTTAAATAATTTGCCATTAGCTGAGGTGGAGTCAATCCCAGCACAGCCTCCAAACCCAATGCCCTAGACTGAACTGCCTGCCTCTCCTAGCCTGAGGTCTCCCTAACTGGGGGTTGCATCCCGGGGACAGGAAGGAGATTCTACAGGAATACCTGGAGATTAGCAGTCTGGTGCAGGATGAGGTGGTCACTATTCACCGGGAGATGGCTGCAGCTGTTGCCCGCATCCAGCCGGAGGCTGAGTACCAAGGCTTCCTACAGCAGTATGGGTAAGCCCATCCTTGCACCTGCTTGACACTAGGGCTACTGGCCTGTTCACTGACAGGGTCATGTCACCCACAGGTCTGCCCCTGACATCCCACCCTGTGTCACCTTTGATGAGTCGTTGCTTGAGGAGGGTGAACAGCTGGAGCCTGGGGAGCTGCAACTGAACGAGCTAACTGTGGAGAGTGTGCAGCACACGTGTGTGGTGGCTTGGCTTCTGGGCCAGGGTGGGCTCCTGACAGACCATGGGTGTCTGTGTGGCAGGGTGGGGAGGGAACTCTGCCTATACCGAGCTATGGCTAGGCAACCAGGCTTGCTTGGCTCTGTAAGGATGCTTGTGGCGAGTGCGGCTCTAACATTGCTCTTCTTGTGGATACAGACTGACCTCTGTGACAGATGACCTGGCTGTGGCCACTGAGACTGTGCTGAACCGAAAGGAGGTGGTCAGTCAGCTGCAGCATGAGCTCCAGAGTGAGGAGCAGAACACTCACCCCCGGGAGCGGTGAGTAGGCCCTCCTGCAGCAGCTCCTGGCCCTGCTCTGTTCTGCCTGCCCTACCTGCTGCTGCTTCCAGCTGGGGACTGAGCCCATGTCTCTGTCCTACCCGCCTACCTACCCTCTGCCTGCAGGGTGCAGCTGTTAGGCAAGAAGCAGGCACTGCAGGAGGCGCTGCAGGGGCTGCAGGTAGCACTGTGTGGCCAAGCCAAGCTACAGGCCCAGCAGGAGCTGCTGCAGACCAAGCTGGAGCAGCTGGGCCCTGGCGAGCCCCCAGCCGTGCTGCTCCTGCAGGATGACCGCCATTCCACCTCATCCTCGGTGAGCTACCTGCTATTGCCCTTGCCTGCCAGCCATGCCTGCCCGCAGGGGCTGTGCTCCTCATTTTTGCCCTCCCCCTCCCCAAGCCTGGCCACCTGCTGACGTCTGTCCCTGGCCTCAGGAGCAGGAGCGAGAGGGGGGAAGGACACCTACGCTGGAGATCCTTAAGAGCCACTTCTCAGGAATCTTCCGCCCCAAGTTCTCGGTGAGTGGCGGTCAGCCTGCTTCATACCTCTGTATGTCCTAAGAGATAGGCCAGATCAGGGGTCTCAGACATACTCCTCTAGGCTCCTTCCTTGGTGATCTGAACCCAGGGTTGCTTAACCACTGAGCCAAATCCCAGCTGTCTTTATTTTATTTTATAATATTTTTTAGTTTTAGGTGGACACAATATCTTTATTTTTTTGTGGTGCTGAGGATTGAACCTGGTGTCTCATGCATGCTAGGCAAGCACTCTACCACTGAGCCACAACCCCAGCCCTGTCTTTATTTTTTATTTTGAGACAAGTTCTCACTATGTTGTTTAGGGCCTTGCTAAATTTCTGAGAATGACTTTGAACTTGTGATCTTTCTACTTCAGCCTCCTGGGTTTTAGGCAAGAAGCAGGCACTGCAGGAGGAGCTGCAGAGGCTGCAGGTAGCACTGTGTGGCCAAGCCAAGCTGCAGGCCCAGCAGCTTGAGGTGTCCATGTCTTCCTTAGGAGTCCTGGCTGCAGATGCCCCCAAATCCTGCTACCCCTGTACTCCTTCCACCCACCACCCCGGTGTACTGCAGGGACCAGCAGCTTTGGTTAACCCAGTGCTCTACTTGCTCCAGAAGTGGGCAGGGACCTCTGTGGCCTGGAGGAAAAGGCACCAGTTTGGTTTGGGACTGCCAGTCTGGGCTTCCCATCCCAGTTCTTCCCCAGAGTGATCCAAGGGCCCACAGATGGCTCTGTGTGCCACTCCCTGTGGTTGTAAGGACTGAGAGCTTATTGGGTGGGGGAGAGATACCCTTTGACCCAGTGGCTTTCCCTGGCAAGCTGGCTGAGTGACCTCACTTGCTTCTCCCCTGCCCAGCTTCCCCCACCGCTACAGCTTGTTCCAGAGGTGCAGAAGCCCCTGCATGAGCAGCTATGGTACCATGGGGCCATCCCGCGGGCAGAGGTGGCTGAGCTGCTGACACACTCTGGGGACTTTCTGGTGCGGGAGAGCCAGGGCAAGCAGGAGTATGTGCTCTCAGTGCTGTGGGATGGCCAGCCCCGGCACTTCATCATCCAGTCCTTGGACGTGAGTGAGGCTGGGACCTGAGCCTTCCCTTTTCCTTCCCAGTGGAATGATTTTGAGACTGATAACCTCTAGAGGGTAGGGAGTAGCTGCTATGTCTTAGATGCCTCCCTAGCTGAGCTGGAAGAACTATCAAGAGGACCCAAGTCTCTGTAATGCAATAGAGACTTAAGCATTATCCTCCACTAAGGAGGGTAGCAGAGTTGTGTCCCACATGCTCATATCTTTTCCGTAGGCCTCTCTGCCTCTTGTCCCAGGCAGGCCCTTTCTCCCCTGCTGCTCTTCCTGCCCTCTGCCAAGACTCAGGCCCCTTCAGCAATGGAAGCTGCTGACCCCAGTCACTCTGTCCCACAGAACCTGTACCGGTTAGAAGGGGATGGCTTCCCTAGCATCCCATTGCTCATTGACCACCTGCTGTGCTCCCGGCAGCCCCTCACCAAGAAGAGCGGTGTTGTCCTGTACAGGCCTGTGCCCAAGGTGAGCCTGTGCCCAACCTGGCTGTGCTACTTGTGGTAAGGCTTGACCATGGTAGGAGCAGTAAGGACCTGTTGTGTCTTTGGTCTACGTGCAGAATGTGAAGGGAGCCCTCACTCCACAATTTGGCCAGATTTCTAGGTTTGGAATGTCAAGGCCACTTCCACTCCAAAGGCTGTGCAGAGATGACTGGTGCTCACTTGGTGAAGGCACCTGGCTGCTTCCTGGAGTCACCTGAGCATGATCCTGATATTCAACTGCACTAGACAGACCAACACACTAAAGCTCCAAGAAATGAAAGATAGTGTCAGTAGGAGAGCTGTTCAGTCCTTCCCAGAGCCCAGCATCCCCTCTCATCACTGATTTCTGACTTTCTAACTCCTTTTCCCCAGGACAAGTGGGTACTGAACCATGAGGACCTGGTGTTAGGCGAGCAGATTGGGCGGGTAAGTTGGGCCTCCACTAGGAGGATGCTCTGCCAGCCCCTCCTCCTGGCTTGCCCTTTTTCTCCAGCTCCACTGCTTCCTAACCATTGCCATGCCCTGTCCTCCAGGAAGCAGAGTACCCACCCCCAAACTCCCCGGAAGACAGCTCTGTCACTGGCACCCCACTCCAGCTCCTCCTCAGAGGCTTCTTGCATATGTGGAAAGATATTCTTTAATATGAACTGTAAAATATCTGCCTAGAAAGGAAGTCACTTTCCTAAAAATCAAAATGTTTTTCAAACACAAAGGAAAGTGTTTTTTTATTTTCCATGTCATTTCTCTTGGAGAATGTGGCATGTCACAGGTGGCTTTTCCTGCCCATCCTCTCTCAGTTCCCTAACTAGGGAGTAAACTCCTAGAGAGCTAGAGTGAGCAATTGTGAACGTGGGGGCTGAATGTAGAGGGGGCAGGAACAAGGTGGGTGTCCCCCTGAGTGGAGAAAGGACAGTGGCATAGGGAAGCCTTGGTAGGAGCCTTAGACCATTTCAGGGGAACTTCGGTGAAGTATTCAGTGGACGCCTGAGAGCTGATAATACTCTGGTGGCAGTGAAATCTTGTCGAGAGACACTCCCCCCTGACCTCAAGGCCAAGTTTCTGCAGGAAGCAAGGTGGGTAACAAAATAAGGACAACCAGAGGTTCCATATATGAAAGTGTCCCCTGTGCATGGCCAGACATAAAATGCTTGACTTCTCTGGTGTCATTTAATCTTCTTGCCCCCTCACAGTTGGGTAGCATCCCCCATAGTGCCAAGAGGTAGAAGCTGCCAAGGCCCCACCTAAGGCCACACATCTAGGGCTGTTGGCCTCCAGAGGTCAAGCTTTTCTCTCCAGCCATTCTCCCATCCTCCCTGGGGTTTCTGGAGGAGGTGGAAGGTGGGCCCAGGCCACATGGTACCTAAGCCGCAGTGCCCTGCAGGATCCTGAAGCAGTACAGCCACCCCAACATTGTGCGTCTCATTGGTGTCTGCACCCAGAAGCAACCCATCTACATTGTCATGGAGCTTGTGCAGGGTGAGCAGGGTTGCTAATCTCCAGGGTGGGGAACTCAGCCTGGCAAGGTGGCTGCCCCCGCAGGAGGCTCATAGCCGCCCCCACCTCCAGGAGGAGATTTCCTGACCTTCCTGCGGACAGAGGGAGCCCGCCTGAGGGTGAAGACTCTGCTGCAGATGGTGGGGGATGCAGCTGCAGGCATGGAATACTTAGAAAGCAAGTGTTGCATCCACCGGTGAGTGGGCTACAGCCCTGATGCCCCTAGTCAGGAAGAGCTGTCATCCCTGAACCCTTTGGCTATCAGGCTTCAGCTCCAGAGGTAGAGTCAGCCTCTCCTGATAGACTAGCCTGGGACAAGCAGAGCTTCTATCCATGGCTTTGTGTGGAGGGCTTGGCCCAGGCAAGGCAGGAAACATTAGCTAAAGGAGACCCTGACCCTGCTTCACCCAGGGACTTGGCTGCTCGAAACTGCCTGGTGACAGAGAAGAACGTTCTGAAGATCAGTGATTTTGGGATGTCCCGAGAGGAAGCTGATGGAATCTATGCAGCCTCAGGGGGTCTCAGACAAGTCCCAGTGAAGTGGACCGCACCGGAGGCCCTTAACTATGGTATCTGGCCCTTTCCAACCCTGCTTTGCAACATTGAAGACTAGGCATGGGTGGAATCTTACTCTATGGATGTGGACAGCTCTCTCATGCTGCCTCACCTCCTCTGCAGGCCGCTACTCCTCTGAGAGTGATGTATGGAGCTTTGGCATCTTGCTCTGGGAGACCTTTAGCCTGGGGGCCTCGCCCTATCCCAACCTCAGCAATCAGCAAACACGAGAGTTTGTGGAAACGGGTAAGGCAAGCCTGTGTGTGACAGCAACCTTAGGGCCACACCCTCTTTCCCATGCTCCACCTGGACACCTTTTCTTCCCTTAACTTCCTAACCTTCCCACTGGGGCAGAATAAGAATAATCCCAGAGCTGCCACTGAGCAGGGCACCTGTTAATACTAGGTCAAAGGTTACTTCATTTACTCCTTGCCAAACATAAGGTGGAGATTAATATGTTCCTTTTGCAGATATAAAAACAGGCTTGCAGAGATCACACAAGTAGCACATAGTGGGAACACAGGCCTCAGCTGGGCATGGTGGTGCACACCTGTAATCCCAGTGACCTGGAAGGCTGAGGCAGAAGGATGGCAAGTTTGAAACCAGCCTCAGCAGCTTAGCAAAACCCTCATCACCTTAGTGAGATCCTGTCTCAAAATAACATTAAAAGGGCTGGGGATGTAGCTCAGTGATAGAATGCTTGCTTAACATGCATGAGGCCATGGGTTCAATCCTTAATACCTTAAAAAAAAAAAAAAAAAAGGTCACATCCAATCTCTGTTTCTTGAGGTTTTGTTGAACAAAACAAAAGTAGGGACAGTACATCTTTAGCAGCTCCTGTTGCTCACAGGCTGCCCCAGGAACCCTTCCTCATGCCTAGTGTGCTGTGCCTGTCCTCACAGGGGGTCGCCTGCCCTGCCCAGAGCTGTGCCCTGATGCTGTGTTCAGGCTCATGGAGCAGTGCTGGGCCTATGAGCCTGGGCAGCGACCCAGCTTCAGCACCATCTACCAGGAGCTGCAGAGCATTCGAAAGCGGCATCGATGAGGCTGGGACCCCCTTCTCAAGCCAGTGGCTTCTTCAGGCAAGAGTGTATCTCCTCGGCAGCTCCCGTTCATACTGTTGAACAGCTCTCCATGTTCTTGCACTCCAGTCACCAGCAGCTGTGCTGTGAGAAGTATGCAGCCCTGTGTTGGCTCTGTGTCCCTGCTCTTGCCAGGGCTTCCTCTCCCAGGAAGAAATAATAAAACCACTTTTATCCATCCAGTACTCTTGGCATGTGTGGTCCTCTGGAGGGCACATCTTAGAAGGCCTGCAAGACCTCTGTAATGGCTATGAGAAGAAAGAGGATAGGCAGAACTCATGGAGCGGAGCTGATATAATTTGGTAGCAGCTGGATGTGGGACATGGCTGAGGGTATTATACATGCTTTGGCTAGATCCAGATGGTGGCACTGTTTCCCAAAACAGGATCTCAACAAGAGGAGCCGTGCTGCGGGGAGGACGGAGGATATTGAGTTCAGAGATGTTTTGCTTAGGGGCCTGTGGAGATAAAAAGTATACAGATCAGTCTGAAAGCCCAGATGGAGGTAAAGGCTGGAAACAGAGATATGAAAGTCATCAGCTTATAAATGTTAGAGAGTAACTGACACTGTGGATGTGTACAACAGTCACATACAGCTCAAGAAGAGCTGGGAAGAGAGGGAAGGTTAGGGTTCCACTCGAGGAGACTGATGTGGCTGAAGAGAAAGAAATGCTTTTTCTAAGGAGTTCATCTCTTAAGAGTTTCTTGGGGCTGGGGTTGTATCACAGTGGTAAAGCACTTGCCTAGCATGTGTGAGGCACTGGGTTTTGAGTCTCAGCACTACATATAAATAAATTAAATAAAGGTCCATTGACAACAACTAAACTCTTTAAAAAAAAAAAAAGAGTTTCCTGAGCAATGGGATGGCAGATTGGGGAGCCCTTACTGGGAGGGGTTCCACTGAAATCTGTAGTCATCTGAAACATTCCCAGTAGAAACAGTGAAGGTTGAGACAATGTAGGCTGGGTATGGGGGAACGTGCCTGTAACCCCTGCAACTCCAGAGGCTGAAGCAGAAGGATCGCAAGGATCGCAAGTTCCAGGCTAGCCTCAGCAACTTCGTGAGACCTGTCTCAAAATAAAAAATAAAAAGGTCTGGGGATATAGCTCAGTGGTAGAGCACCCCCAAGTTCAATACTTTGGACCATAAATAATAAATAAATAAGTAAAGTAATAGGGCTGAACTAAAAAAAGAAAGAAAAGAAAAAGAGAAAGATTTATAATACAAGAAAACAAGTAATATAAACCATGAAGTAAAATAGCCATCCCTCAAGGAAGTTAGGAAAATGGACAATATAAGTTTTCAAAGAGATAAAAGAGAGCTCTAATTTGTTTAAAAAGAGGAAATTGACGGTTGGAGGTGTAGTTCAGCACTTTCCCAGAATGCATGAGGTTTAATCCCTAGCACCCCCCCCCAAAAAAAAAAGGAATCCCATCATTGTGTACAATTATAATGCACCAATAAAAATTTGTAAAAAATTTTTTAAAAAGGATGCGCTGGGACTGTAGCTCAGTGGTAGAGTGCTTTCCTAGCATGCATGAGGCACTGGGTTCGATTCTCAGCACCTCATAAAAATAAACAAAGGCATTCTGTCCATCTATAACTACAAAAAAAAATTAAAAAGAAAAGGTAGAATTAAAATATTTTTAAAAGGAAATTAAGTTGGAGTGTGATTAAGTGAAAATAGTAATTGAAATAATTTCTCCAATGGAAGTGGTTAAAAAAACAGAACTAAAGAACTTCTGCTTCTGGGTAGGCTGTGGTAGGTCTCTGTGGGCCATGCCCCTCCCTCCATTGCAACAGCTGGGAAAAAGTAGATAAGATGGAAATGATCTTATTTTTAAAGAGAATGGAGAGTGGTGGAAGAAATGAAGACCAGATGACCCACAATTTCAAGGGAAAGAATGCTTCCAAGGTCAGTTAGTGATAGGCAGCCATTGTCTTCCATAGGGTGTTCATTGATTTGGGTCATCAGTAAGAGTTGGTCTTGGTCTCTCTTCCTTGTATCTGCTAGAGTTTGAACCTCTGTATGTTGGGAGTCTATGAAGTCCTGAAAATCTCTGAAGAGCAGAATTTGAAAGAGCTGAGAGAGAAAAAGACAGGCCAGACTTTCCATTGAAATCTTAAGAGGGCTACCCTCAAGGGACGGAGTGATCAATGGCAATTAGTAGCTCAGAAATGTACTGAGATCCACTTTTACAAGGAGCAATAAGAGATTTGGTGAAAAGTCTAATCCATTATAGAAGTATGAATCATCCAAGTGAGGGTTCTCTGCAAGATCTCCTGAATGGGAAGGAACAGAAGTTGCGTGGATACTTTAGGACTTACCCCATGCTCCAGGCCATTTTTGGCCACAATCAATGACAAAGGAGGAAAAGATAAAGAGAAAATCAGGGCTTGTTGCACTGGGTCTTTATAGTTGTCATGACATAGTGGCCTATCTGAGATGAGTTCCCATCATCTGAACAGTACTGGAGGAGGCTGCCACTATTATGCCACTGTGACCTCAGCCTGAATTCATAATGGAGATCATGAGTGCCCAGATGATGAAATAGTCATCCCCATCAGACTACACATTTTAATTGACATATCAGGCTGTGGAGGGAAAATGAATCTTCTCTTACACCCTGGGGATATTTTTCAGAAAACTATTCAGCTATCAAGCAACACCTTTCCCACAATGGAAGCCTTGGGAAAGGCCCAGATAATGCACTATAGACCAAGATAGGGGAGAAACCATCTAAAAGGACACATGGATCTGGCTGTTACATCAGGTGGTCCCTGAAGAGGCAAGTGATGATTCTACCTATGAAGGAATATTCTATTTCTCACAGGGCTCTGGGAGGGTTATGGGACTTAAAGATTTGGGCTATTTACTGGACCAGCTTTAACATTTCCTGTGGACTGATAGGAGGGACATCAAGCTGAGGTTTGTGCTGTTGGGACTACTGTTTGACCCACCACTTTCAGCACTATCCTTTCCCCACTGCTCAAACAGGCTAAGTTGGAGGACCAGGTCCTTGGAGTGGGACTTAGATAGGGACAAATGTTCATCGTCTAGACCTAGCCAAGTGGCTACTGCAAAGCAATACAGAACAGTGGGTGGAGGGAGCCTGAGTGGCAAGTACAAAAGGTCCCTGACCTTGGCATCTTATGGATTATTTCATATCATAGAGCTCATTGTACAGACCGAAGTCACCTAGTATGCAGAGTACTCATGTCAATTTTTGTTTTGTTTTTGCGGTAGTGGAAATTGAACCCAGAGTGTCTTTACCACAGCCCTTTTAATTTTTTATTTTGAGACAGTCTCACTAAACTGTTGAGGCTGACCTTGAACTTGCAATCCTCTTGCCTCAGACATGTGAGTCACTGGGATTACAGGCTACTAATTCCTTTTTGGGGTTTTTTTTTTTTTTTAATTTTTTATTGTGGGTTGTTCAAAACATTACAAATTTCTTGACATATCATATTCCACACTTTGATTCAAGTGGGTTATGAACTCCCACCTTCACCCCATG